GGATGGAGCAAATAGGATTTTCGGTCTTTGACCATTTTGGTGGTGGGTCTGATCTACTCACCTCCCACCGCTCTGGGAGCTGCACGTGTGCCTTGATCTTTGAGGGTGGTGGCATTCCTACGGTCTAACCGAGTCTCACGCAAACCTTGAATTCATTTATTTATGTTGCTAACATGTGTATGACAGCATGGAGTAACATCATACAGCAACATCACATGATGTCAAAAGTGAATACTAGTAAGCAAATAAATAATTGCTCTCTATATCAAAGAGATATCACACGGTGATGGACTGTGCCTGGTTTCGGTATTCCGTACATGTCCCAAATCACCACGCAAATCCAGTGAGATGTTCACAGCCAACACAGCCATCAAAGGGAGGGCCATTGAGCACACGCTCTCTCGTAACGCACTGCTGTTACCATAGCCCTGATCCTCGCCACAGTCACCTAGGTACGAGAGTATGCACTCCGCTTGAGAAATTTGAATTTTGCACGTGACATGAATGCCGCCCTCTTAGGCTGCAACCACACTAGGTACAAAATCACGTACAAACGGCATTACAGTAGAAATCATCATGCCGACGCGTGCGAAATGCAAAACGCGCTTTGTAGGTTTTCAGCAACTGGCGCACCCCTGTAGAAAGCCACGTTTGTCGTTTTCGCGCTCCTTCTCCTGTGTACAACTTTGTTTTGTACCTGGTCATCGTACATAGCATCAGCTTCAGCATTGTTTTTGAATTTCCCGGTCTTTTCCAGCGCATGGTACACGCTTTGATACGACAACGTCACGTGCTGGTCGCGTGAAAACGTCATCTATGCAGACCGAAAAGTGTAGTGTGGTTGCGTACCGACTTGTACTGAGATATGCATGAAAATTTGTACTGTGATTTTTAGGGCTGAAACGATTATACCGATAACTCGCATATCGATCGTTAAGGGTGCAATCGATAATCGTTAGTGTTCGAAACGAGTGCTAATGATTTTTACGCATGCATATCAGCAACAGTATTCTAGCCCTTGCACTCCATCCTGTAGTGAATACAGGTGCAATCATGTACTTTCAAGCGCAATAAAATTGATTTGTGGCTTTTAAAGAGATCAGGAGACTTCTGAAGGCTTTGTCTTTTCGGTTCATTTGTGGGGGAGGTCGGAGATGAAAGCAGTTGCCAGAGGGTGGTGACAACATTCTTCACTCTGGAAACAACATGAAATACTCTAGTTCATGTTGAGAAAACAAGCCACATGTCAACAGTGCGATGCGGCAAGTTTCTAATGTAGCAAAGGCATTGTGGAATTTCTTCATTATCTGGTGTTCGAGGTACACGAGTAGGGCCGAGAAAATCGATAAAACCAATATATCGACCGTTAATGATATTGGTTGATCGTTAGGAGTTTTTGAATGATCGTTTCAGCCCTAGTGATTTTTACGTAGTGTGGTTGCGGCCTTACTGAGTGACCAGGTGCAAGCAGCAGCGAACGCGATGCGCTGTCAACAAAATGTACTTTTTTTTAAAGATCTCAGAGTTTTGAGGCATATCTGGACATAGTACATCCTGGTTGTGTTCACATGAGTGTTATTTGTTGCGCGCGTTTCTTTAAGCAGTTTCTTTAAGCAGTTGCAGGTGTTGGAGGCTGTATATATTCGCACACGTGACCCTGTTCTATGCAAGCAAAAAGAAAATGTTGTAGCACTCACACTTTTTAAATAATACGCACTCACAGGTTTTTGTTCACACGCACTCACAGCTGCCACATTCATCTACTGCTACCATTCTCAGATACACTGCAAAGGTTCACACTACACGCATTATGCATAACCGCTAGCTGTGCTGCATTCTCACGCTTCTTTTCATATTACTCTAGCTATATAACTGGTTGTTTTAGTGATTCTTACTATGTGACGATGTTCCACTGATGATGGTCACACGAAAACGTTCTGGAATTGTTTCATTTTAATTGTTTATACATGGTTATGAGTGCACAATTGATATTTTTCATTGCTATTTTTAAGAATGCCAATACAAAAACAAAAAACGAAAAAAACAATCGAGTGCAAAATTTCGAATACTCGCTCGTTTGAAATTTTCGAACGAATACTCGAATATTCGAACTAATCGATTCACCCCCAACTGTCAGAAGTACGTTAGTACGATTTCTCGCCCTGGGTTGATTTCAACCCGGGTCAAGCGCAATGCGTCATGTAAACGCGCCATTCATTTTGTGTACATGGTGGGTTGAAATCTGACCCGGGTCGAACTCAACCCGGGTTGAAACACCTCATGTAAACACAGCCTAAAAGAAAATACATGTAGTACTTGTACATGATGGTGAAAACGTACTACTTGAAGTACAAGGTTGTAAATATATACGAAATGTTTACGCTACACTGCATATCGGATTGGCGGAGTACAGAATAGTTGTACATTTCTATGAGTATGCACGACTATGTGAATTAGAATGTACACTAAAGGTGTACCAATGACAAGCAACTATTGCACAATAGGGAGGTTTCGCTCTACGTAATTACTGCAAACCACCCAATGTTTGCGTCACTAATTTTTTGCGATCTCTCAGAACCAGCGAGTTTACGATGGCAAATGTTCGCGGAGCACTGTGGCCACACATATTCGAGAGGTAGACTAAGGTAGTAGAGTATGGTTGTGTCTTTGCAGCTCCTGATCTTGAGTGGTCTTTGAGTAGATTGTGCGCACTGCGCTTCGCCCCAGTCATGCCAGCCAAGCAGGGTGCTTGTTGTCGGTGCAACGGCACGAAAGGCACCTGCTTGAGCTGTGCCTGCGTGAAGGCCAGGCGCAATTGCCGAAATTGTTCACCCGCCAACAAGAACCGCTGCCAAAACCTCCACTCTGCCTCGGCGCGCAAACCGCCCAAGCCTCAACCCACGAGTACGAGTACGGTAACGGTCAGTGGCGGTACGGCAGACGCGGCGATCGCACGGAGCCAGAGAGCAGCCACGGCCGAGGAACTCGCCCCTGCGGTGCTCGATACAGCGCCCGTCTCCAACTCCCAACAGCTAGTGTGGGACTTGCTCGAATCCACGGAGCCTGGAACGACGTGTGCGGATACTCATACGGGTCGAAACCAAAGCTCATGCCCTGCGGCCGAGCTGGGGAACTGTGCGCAACCTATTCTTTGTCCTCGAGATGAGGATTCCGTAGCAATAGCTGAGGATGCTGCGCTCCTGGCGAATTTAGCCAACAGCCAGTCAGATTTTCACCGCCAGACTACTGCTGTACCAAGTGGCCAGCCAAGTGGGGAAATGCCCGATGAGCTTTGTCTGCCAGCTTTCCTCCTGCTCCTTCCCCACGCTTTTCTTTGGGACAACTTGACGATGACGAAACCACCAGAGTCATCAACTTAGCCTATGATACGGCCGTCCACTTCCGGCCCAATGCCTTCTGCGTTCCCAATGGATCAGTCGGCCGCCATTTCATTCTCCAATTGAGCAACTACCTCGCCTACTTTGGAAATGGTGGACACTATGAGGGTATAGCCTTGAAGATAGCCATGGTTTTCCAGCAACTGCTCCTGCAGAAACCATACCAATCCAAGACGCTTTCGTTTGGAGATTGCTTACAAAGACGTATGACCCCGTGGGAACAAGGTGACATCAAGAATCTTCTCCACGAGTGCTGCACAATCCAGGGCCAGATTGAGGACGGTACATCATCCAGTACGAGCACCCATCAGACCCAATGCCTTGCCCAACAATTCGCCCACAAGGTCACCAGCGGCAAACTGCGCCAAGCGTTGCGCCTGCTCGACGAAGGTCCAGGAGGAGGTGTGCTGCATTTGGATCAACACATTAACAACAAGCCGGTGCGAGACATCCTGGCTAGCAAGCACCCCCAGCCAGCTCAATTGTAAGTAGAGGCAGTCCTCCCAGGTCCTCCACCGATCGCTCCACACCCAGTGAGGTTTGCCTCGTTGGCGCGAGATACAGTATGCAAGGCAGCATTGCATACATATGGTGCAGCAGGCCCTTCAGGGGTTGATGCCAACTGCTGGCGACTTATATGCACATCATTCCGAGATGCATCCGGTAGAGTAGAATGGAGGTTGGAAAAGAAAAGACGGCAGATGGTAGTTTACAAACGCTGGTCTACCCATTTTGGTAAAACGTTGATGTAATGTCCGTTTTTTTGCAATATTTTACGGTACGATGTACGATATATTGTGGAAACCATATCTCATGGTCACACATAATACCGTACCTCTACCAACTTCTAACAGCATCAAACCGGGTTGAGCCGATAAAGGGAAGTAGAATCTACCGTTTGGGGTTGAGAACAAATTTCAAAAAAACCGAACACATCTACCAAAAACTGTAAATCGAAAAGGAACGTCCCTAAGGCTGGCTTCACACTACATACCCAAAAACGCTATTTCCAGGGAAAACCTGACGTTGATGTGCCCCCTTTGCACACTGCATGCATTCAGCACCATTTTCGTGCATCCTCCCGGGCCGATCCCCAGCCGAAAAACGCAAAACGTGTCGTCTATAGAGTGCTAGGATTGTATTTTTCATCGTAACGTTGCTTACATTGTGTGTTGCTTCAAAGTAGCGGCCGCAAGCAATCTGATAGTGGTGGTCCTTAACCAGGCCAAGGATCTGAGCACAACACATGGAAAAGACAAGAAAGAACCTGAAGTTTAGCATCATTTCGACGATGAAAATTCATGCAACTGCACTTCGAAGTATGCTTTTTGCCCAGCGTGGTGTTACATAGCCATACATAGCCATTATAGTGCGTTCGTTAGTAAATCGTGGCATTTGTCACTTGTTACTTGGCTCCTGGCACACACAGACAGACACACAGATAGATACACAGACAGACACACAGACAGACACATATACACACATATACCTACCTCTGTTATGACGGACTGCGCTACTCCGTAACGCTTCAACTTTGCCCTCGTCACATCCGGATCCCAGTGTCTGAATGGGCACCCTGTCAGCAGAACAATGAATCCGAAAGACACATGAACAAGCTTCAGAAGTTGCAAAAAAGTCACCTTCAACACAAAATACGGAAAGGCAGTAAGTGGAGAAAGGGAAAAAGAAAGAAAGAAAGAGAGAGAGAGAGAGAGAGAGAGAGAGAGAGAGAGAGAGAGAGAGAGAGATAGGCCACAGAAAATTACAATGGAGATCATACACGCCTACGTGTTTGTGTGAGCACTGAAGTCGTCTCGACAAAGTAGGATCTACGCCCCTATGGCAAAGAATTGCACTAACCAGACAGCATACAACTCAGCCTGTTAGTGGGCCAGGCAGGATGATACTACTGTAACAAACATGCCAATTACATAGAAAGTGATTGTAGCTGTGTGAGTCACCAGCGTGCCAACGCCACACTACTACCAATGGTCACAAGGAAGCTCTGCACACACATGTATGGCAAAACACTGATATCACTGATAGGACAGAATGCGTGGCATGTAACTCGGAGGAGCTGCTTGCATACCATGCGTCTCGTCACCAGTGGGAGCGTTGCTAGTGATGATCTTCATGCAACTGCAAACACAGGCACACAGGCACACACAAGCAAACACACACACACACACAAGCACACACACAGAGCTATGATCCTTCACCTATCAGGAGACTACAGCATGAAAGCCTCGATTCACTGAAACCAAGCATCAGAATACAGAGAGATTGTTGATATTGAAGGGAGTACACTTTATAGGAGCGGAGAAGAGAGTCTGGCCATGATGGTGAAAAGAGTCTAGTGATGCAAGGAATATTCGAATTATTCGAATATTCTAGAATACTGACACCGAAAGGAATATTTGAATGCAGGCAGCAACATTCAATATTCGAAAGTTCGAAAAAATTCGCACTTTTTGGTTGCGGTGTTTAGCTCTAACCTTGATCTCCTGAACAGTTATGATGATGATGGTGTAGAAATTATGTTCTGGGAACTGTGACGCTTATTATTAGGTAAAGGCTGCGGGTATTGACTATCATCATGATCTGTATGCAACATGAACGTTGGGTCTAATTGAGTGAAGTGATTGAGGCACATCAGAATATAGAATATTCGTTCGTTCGTCAAAGCAATATTTGAGAGAAAATTCGTTCGAAGAAAACACCATTCGTTGCATCACTAGAAAAGACATCGCAACATATGCAAGAGCAATGGGCGGAGCACGCTAATCCCAAGCAGTAGGTTGGCAGCTCTGACACACACGCGCATACACATATCAACAACAGCAGCAGCAGCAACAACAAATAAATGATTGGCCAGTACCTGTATGGACTGATGCTTTTCCGCTTTCCTTCTTTGCCAAAGTAATGCCGAATACCATACGCATAACCGCCCTTTTCAAACTGTTAGGCAGAGAGGAAAAATCATACTCAAATCTCGAGAGACACACCCGGCAGTTCTAAACCACTTTCACTGACAAAAGTCAGTCGTGTTCAATTCGAATTTGTATTGATTTTTACAAGGCACACAGCCATCTTTGCACCCACCAGACGTCTTGCTACTGCATAGCACACAACTCTCAGTGAAACTGAGTACCTCACCATGTACCATGTACCAGGGAGTAGTACAATCTTGTACTACTCCATGCCATGTACGCCAGTCACAAGAGAAGCACGCAAATCTGCAAGTGCACTAGCGTACACCCATGTGACCCTACATTGTCCTGGGCAACAAGTATAGAGGACTTTCCATTACATCACCTTTTTGGCGCCTTCCCGGTGTCCACCCAAAGATCAACCATAAGACAAGTCCGTGTCCTACGGTAAAATGTGCTTGGGTGGCAAAAAGAGAATCAAATGTGTTGTTCGGTGTACGGTTGAAAATGATGTTGCAGGCCGTCGCGCGCAGTGGTGAAGCACTTTTGCTTTTCTTTGATGTGGTGAATAGTTTCGGTAAGTCGCGAGGATTACTAGCCGCAGTTACTCTACTGTTTATTCCAGCCTTGAAGAGGCGTTGCCGCGAGAAGATTGACAGAATCCGTGGGCCCAGTACATTGATCCATATTTACCTATGGACGAAGACCTTTCAGCCAATCCCCCTGCGTTGGGTATCCAGGCCTCTCTAAATATTTAGTGAATGTCCCCAGCACATATGCAAAGGACTCTCTAAAGTCTTACAATAGCCCTGATGGATACAAATGCATGTGTCTCATTGCTGGCTGGGTTGGCACATTATCGTGTCTTGCCCAATCGAAGGAAGAAACAACAACTGTCGACAAAATACCTTTGCAAACGTCAGGCACTCGCGGAGTGTTTTGCCGAACCTGTCCATCCTTGGGTAGCTGCTTAATTACCTGGAATTGTTCTTGGCGCACACTGCACTTGCATGGTGGGCCTGGGAGAAGCATGTTCCCATGCTGCTGCAGTGCAGTGTTGTTTTTGACTGAATTTACGTTGGAGACTGAAATGTGATGTGTGCTGAATGTCAACACCTACACCACTGGGTCACTCACCAGTGGCTGGTACCGTCAATGAACACTACACGAAAATAGTGTACATGGATTTTACTTCAGCTGGGCAGAAATTGGAGCACCGTGCCCATAACCTACAAGTAGTCTCACTTCTCTTTCGCTGCCTGACTCTCTGTCTCTCTTGCTTCGCATGCCTGTCAGTGTATCCATGTGTGTGTGTGTGTGTGTGTGTGTGTGTGTGTGTGTGTGTGTGTGTGTGTGTGTGTGTGTGTGTGCGTGCGTGTGTGGGTTTTTCTTCCTTATCAGTACGAGTATGACAATGTTGACATGCGGTGGCTGGTAGCACGAAAGCTGACAAAGTCAAACACGGCCATCATCATCATTGCTCCTATGTAGCCAAAAAGTTGGTGTAGTGGCGAACTTAGTTGTCCTGATCTTAAAACACGCTGATGAATGCACATTCAATACAGCAATTGTTTTTTCCTGGTCGTCCCTCGACCTGGCATTCTCCATAAGCAGTTGCTGATTACCGGTAGAGTGTCCTCCATTACTGCCTTTGCAAGAGTTACACAAGAAGTAAGATCAAGATGATCCTCACCACAAGAAGATCAAGAAGCTGAATACATGTACCTAATTGACCAGACAGACAGAAGATGAGGTATACTAGTATGTGCCGGAGCAGATGAAGAACTGCACAGCGCAGCAACCAAGTGGGAAGCAGAAGAAGATTGCGCAAGTAGGTCGATCAGAGTATTTATCCATGACAAAGGAAATACACGTTGTGCAGAACATGAGGCATACACACTGGCATGGAAGAGATGATGAGTTGCACCCAGGGCCAGTACTAGAATAGCTAGCACTACCAGTCACGTATAGGTACGTGCATAGAGCTGGGTACATTAGTCATTACCATCAGCATCAGCACTATCAATCATCAAACTCCAGCTATACCTTGCACCCCAACAAACTAAGTAAGTTCATAGTGTTCGGAATCATCTTCGTGTTTCCGCCTTTACTGGTGCTGCCACAAATGAGCTGAACAAGTTGGTTAGTTAGTTCGATACGTACTGGGGTGACAGGGGATGATCATGACTTTTCTCTTCGCCAACGAAGTGATGGAACGATATTCGTGTACTTCGAAGTATTTGCATAAGGAGCGAAGTTCTCGAGTCCTGTGTCCGTCATCCACTGGTTCCGTCGTTCTCCATCGTAGGGAAAACGATAACAACTCAAAGACGATCCAGGTGTGGGAACATCCGATCGCGAGCAGCCCTTTGGTATTCTCAAACTACAGTACGCAAAATGGAACTGCTTTCGAAAAACACTGTTTCCTTCCAGTGCAGTCTTCTTTTTTTGCCACCCAAGCTCCGTTTCAAGTCCGGTGATCGGTGGTGAACTCGATGATCTTTGGCCCGAATCCTCATAGGCCGCACGGTATGACTCATTGGAAAGTCCTCTATAGACAGCATGCTCCTTTGCTACTTTGAACAGTAGCTGATATTAGATGCACCGGCACCTGGAAATGAAAATGGAGTTACTTTACCACCCAGACTCGGCAATACTGGGAACCCAGAGCCAACAGACATACCAACAACCTCAGCCATGAAAGCTATAGATAATGACACACTGGATTGTGGAGCCGAAACTTGTCCAACTTCCAGGTACTTTGGGCAAGAAGACAATCTTCTCACACACACACACACACACACACACACACACACACACACACACACACACACACACACACACACACACACACACACCATTCAGACCGTCAGGGGTGCATTGAACATCCAATGAAAACAGAACAACATGGGACGTAACATACCTTTTCCGGGCCAACGCGTGCAGACTGTACAAATTCAGACCTCCAAAATGTCAGTGCATCGTTGAGCGTGACACCAATGCCCTGATGACAACACACACCACAAACGCATGCAGATTGCACAATGTCAGACCTCCAAAATGCCCACACCACTCAGAATCGGCTTACTAGTAGACCATGTGTGTGTCGAATAATTTAAAAAAAAAACACACACATCCCTGAGAATACAACCTCGACAAAGCTTGAGATGAAGAATGGATGTGCTCTGCAGTCCCAAGGCAGACCCAAAGCTCCCTGAGTTGAAGGTAAACAGCTGGATGGACTTGTGTGGTGATGGAGTGGCAAAAACCTTGCATCCATTCAGCATAGTTGCTGACAGTATATTTCAACAGCTGACGGTGGCAACTGCAGCTGTCTGCGAAATATCAAGTTGAACACAAGCCCTGCCCAAACGATTTTTTTAAACAACCTAAACATTAGCGTACCTTTACGAACAGACCAAGCTGCATGCGACTCTGATGTTTAAGGTGATGTCTATCACGCAGTGTCTCGTGCAAATGGCGCATGCACGGTGCATAGGACTTCCGGGACAGCTGCAGCAACAGGCATACAGTTCACACAGTACATGTAGTTGGCAATCAATCATCAAAGTCACATTTCTGAGCAAAGACATATGTCCCGGTTAGAGGTTTTCTCCATTTTATAACGCGAAGTCCATCATCCGCACACCATAATGGTGTTGCTAAAGTGCATTGTAAGTCATTGTAAATGTTACATTCAGGTACCAACAGGCACAATACCTCTGTGCAAATCTTACATCATCAAGTTGATTGAGAGAGATAGTACCAGTGACGTTCGTGTTAGGTGTTGCATAGTCCTCTCCTGTGTAGAGCTGGCTGTACACACACACACACACACACACACACACACGCACACACACACACAAGCGCGCACACGCATACACGCACACACACAAGCGCGCACACGCATACACACACACACACACGTGCACACGTACAACACAATGAATACTAGTAGGTTAAACCCACACACTTGCACACAACTACAATTCAGTGTGGAACAGCAAGGTGCAGATGGATGCAGTAGCCGGGAGATAGCGCTTAGATGACCTCACCTCCACCGTAAGACACATTCAGGACACGGGCAACGGGTAGAAGCACGGTAATAAATAACAGTTCTTGACATATAAAGCACACTAACTTATGACATCACAAGTAGCATATCACACATGGCGATAAGAAGTTAAGAACCTCTAGATCTACCGACGGGAATTCCTCACCATCTGAAGAATGCTCACTCCAACCTCTAGATATGCCAATAAGAATTCCCCCGCCGTCTGGATAATGATCACTCAAACCTCTAGATATATCAATCACATACCTGATACCCTTCAGAAGTGGACTTATCCTGGAGTCATCCTCCACAGCTGGTAAGCTACGAGCAGTCATCTGCAGCACAGGACATGAGTGATGAGAGCTAGGTTCGACATGACGCGCAAGCCTACACACTCCAACTCTGTGACGTACATATATACGATTTAGATAAGCACAGGTCACCAGTGTTGAATGCAATGCCCAGTGCTTGCCGGTCAATGTCTGTTTTCTAAATCTATTCTCAGCCCTTCGTGCATAAACTCAGTGGAATTGTCACATGCACGCGTGCACGATTTGTGATTAATCGCTCGAAACTACTTGAAACGCCCCATGTACGGTAGGGTGTATACACACACTGACACTTGGCAGGCTGACAACTTACCATCAGTGCTCTCTGTAAGCGAGTTCGTAGCTCATTGCTCAAGATGGAAACAAAGTCGAGCAGTGGTACAAAAGCAATGCCCTGGCAAACACAAATACAAACCACACAGAGAAGAACTTCATTGAAATTTCAACACAAACAGCTGAGCTATCACAGCAAATTTCACTAAAGCCATTGTTCTAGGTGCTTGAATGCTACTTGAAGTAAATGCATTGAGAGAGAGCGAGGAGAGAGAGAGAGAGAGAGAGAGAGAGAGAGAGAGAGAGAGAGAGAGAGCGCCTTGAGAAAGAGAAGGAGAGAGAATGAGAGTCTTGAGGGAGAAAGAGAACATGTGCTATGTCTTACCCCCTTCAGAAACACTCTCCTGCGGCTGACAAGATCAAACGCCTGAACAAAGGGAACCTGAACATCGAGCACCAAAACACACGATTAATGGATGATTAAAGGATACCATAAAACAAAATCCAACAGAGGTCCATTCAAAATGGAACAAGAGAGCATGCGTACGTGCGTGGGGGAGAGAGTTATAGATCCTGTGGATAGTTTCGCATGTCTGCAACCCACAGTTGATTGGGACCTCGTAGCACAACATGGCTGCAGCGAATGGGGCTTTCGGTCCTTGATCACTTGGTGGTGGGTCTGATTTACCCCCCCCCCCCCCCCCCGCTTTAAGAGCGGCATCTCTAACTTGATCCTTGAGGATGGTGGCGTTCCTGCAGATGCGGAAAACTCAGCCTGAGTCTCGCATTCGTGAATTTAAGTTTTAATTTTATAGATAGAAAGAGAAAGAAAGAAAGAAAGAGAGAGAGAGAGAGAGAGAGAGAGAGAGAGAGAGAGAGAAAGAAAGAGATAGATAGAGAGAGAGAGAGAGGAATGGGATAATCCAAATCAAGGTGTTATGTTGAGAGGTATGATGAACTTGCCTTGTAAAATGGTGTCGCTGTCAAGTCCTCGAAGCGACTTCCTGTGCTGCCATACAATTCTTTCTTATGTGCAGTTTTCTCTTCTTCAGACACCTAGGAAGATAGAGAAAGAGACAGCAACAGCATTTGGTCTTAGATTGCCAAGACAGTCTTGGCAGTCTGCCTACAAGTAGAAGTTATGACTCGGTCTGAAAATGATATTTAAAAAAATATGATTGAAAGCCAATATCAACCCTGATCCTAGAACGAGCGAGGCCCGAGAAAAACATCAACATCAACAACAACAACAACAACAAGAAGAACAACAACAACAACAACAACAACAACAACATCAACAACAACAACAACAACAACAACAACTTACACTGTTATCTCTTATTGGCCACTGGCTATCGTGAGAATAAAGATTTGAAACAACAACAACAACAACAACAAACGCGCCAACTGTACACGTACGTGCCAGTCTGCATTTCTTCTGGCAGTGACATGGGAAGAAAAGAATGGACTTTGTATGGTGTAAACACTTGCAGGCTCCTATTGAGTGTGAATGCTAGCAAAATAAACCAGCTCACCTCATCATAGCTCATCTTTGCTGTAACAAGAAACTGCGCTATGTCAGACGGAGATGCCATCATGGCTTCAAAGCGGTATCTAGAAAAGAGACAAGCGGTAGTAAACACTTAGGAGTGTTTGAGGAAGAGTGAATACCTACATGTATGTGCAGAGGGGAGTGTGATGGACACATCCATACAGTACACCTTACACAGTGTAGATTGAACCCATGAAACAAGTGTTGGCAAAAACAAAGATTCTCCAGAACTCAGGCTCCATGCAAGTGATCTTTTCGTGTTGTATTGTATGTAAACAAAGCAATCACACCACATACCATGCTTTTTTCCACAGAAAGCAAAACAATGAATTGGACAACAATCCAAAACAGCAGAGAAGACAATCAAACATATGCAATGCACTCACAGGCAAAAATACAAACACATACTTCAGTAGAAAAAGGAAAATTATATTATTACGCGTACGCGTGCTGTGGTATTATTATTATTATTATTATAGAAAAAGGGAGCATGTATAATGACTAGGTGGGTCCTCACCGGAACAACTCCAGCTCATTATCAACAAACCACCGCCGAAGCTCTTCCCTGGTTTCAACGGAGAGATGCAAAATGAGAGAAAGCAGCAAAGAAGCGGACCACATGATCAGGCAACCCTGTGTTCGTTAACGACGGAACTATCGGTGGACTGAAAAACTACCCAATCTAAAAAGTTGATCTCAACTCTAGACACTGTACAAGTGATAGGCTATCAACACTGAGCAGCTGAGCTATATCGGAATTAGTTGGCATCATATGTACCGGAATAGGTGTCCAGACTGAAGAGTAGTTTGACCCATTTGAACAATTTCTATGCAAGATACGGGAAGCGCTCAATAATGCAAACTTACGTCCTGCAGAAGGCCAAGCGGAGGATAAAGTGTGAGACGTGATCCTTTCTTCTCTCCTCGTACATTGCTTTTGCCTGTCTCTCCTGCACATCATCTTGTGCTGCATCGCCGATACGAATCGTTGCAGACTCCCCAGCATTCTCTTCTTTTATTAGAGACTTTGTCTGTAGAACACATCAACGCACTGGACTTCTAACAAACGCTCACTTGTTGGAATACCACAGTAAGTAAATGCACATACGTACAGCTTTCAACTTGGCTCACACAGACATGCATACAGACACACACACCATGTACCACAGACACACACACACACACACGCACACACCTCCCCGCTTTAGCATCCTGAATACTCACACTGAGATTGAGCCGCTTAGTTGTGATATCTTTGATTGCATCCTTCAGTTTAGTCCCTTCCCGGCCGAAAGATGCCTTAGCGTTTGATAGGCGACTCAAAACTAAAGACATAACACAATAGGACAGTATAATCATTGTTTCCTCTATCAAAAGTACATGTAACTAAAAATTGTTGTTACCTAAAATCCAACAAATAAATCACATGACGTTGGTTGCCTGGGACTACAAAGACCACCACGCGTTTAGGCCGACTTTCTGTACAGACCGCACAGTAATGTCGGTCGCCGAAGAACTGGGGGGTCAGCCTCCTAGCCTAGACCGTTCTTATTTCCATGCACTACAGTCTATGCACAGTTGAGTCACCGTGTATACATTGGTATGCTGTGCTTGGTGAAATGCTAGCCTGCTCGTTCTTCGGTGCCCGACAGTACTGTAGTGCAGTCCATCAATGACCTGTTGGCAATGACCTGTTGGCAATGACCTGTTGGCAATGACCTGTTGGAATATATCTGATTACCAACTGACGTCTGTAGCTCTCTGGCATGTCGCAAAGGAACTTGCTTTCGGAGAAACATTTTCAGCATGACGCACCTAAAAAAAGTGAAGCTTGGATACATCAATACCGGTAAAAACGACAGATCCGCAGTGAATCTTTACGATGGGGGACATGTTCACCGCACCACACTGTTACCAATATGCCAGAAAGGCCCGGGATCGGATATCGGACATTTAGCTCACTTGCCAGGCTGCTGATCCAAGCTTCACTGTAGTGCGCAGAACTGTTTGTACAGCTACTGATGCGGCTCTCCCGATGTTGAATTGAGTGTGATGTGCACAGTTTGCCTACATGTGCACAAATACCGACTGGTAAATTCCAATACGCTGTGTAGCGCGCGAACACGGCAGGTGGCCATTGCCTGCTGGTATCTATACAGGCTATGTACGCACAATAGAGAGACTACGGTTATCAAAGCTGCTCAGTGTCTATGATTTGACTTGTGTAAGAAATTAATTTGTTCAATGCCTGGTCTCAGAAATCGGTGTAATGTACCTTCATATCGATCAGCGGCAAACTGGCGAAACTCTTCCAAGGACAAATTGTCAATGGGTGGGTTTTCATAGAACTGAAGAGGATGAGGATACTCGTCCTTCAGCTTCTTCACGACATGTTCAGCTGACTCTACTCGAGCGGAACGACGAGCTCTTTTTGTCTTTGGGGCGCCGAATTCCATTATTTCGGATTCTTCCTGCGACTTAATACACCATTGCTAAGGGACGTGAGTTGGGTCGGCCTTACACCTAAACAACGTTTCCAAACTCAAGAACTAACTTCAAAGAGAAGCAATGCCATACAAATATTCACATCATGGATATTCCGAAATCTCCACACTGCATGCAGCAGCGAGCTTGCGAGTTGTGCTGATCGTCGTCTTCTTTCATTCTTTCCCGCCATCTGGGCTGTTGCTATCGTTACGGTTCGTCCCCAGCTGCCATGCCAGCGCTATCATGGCTATGCGGACCGTTGATGTTGATGGCCGATGCCACTTGACTGGCCTGGACATACCGGACTCCAGTGGCAGCACGACATGCCACACACAGCGGGACGAACGAAATGACTATTATATGGACCGACGCGACGGTACGCGGTCATATATTATAATTATACAAGTACAGTGCGTATCGGTTATAGTGTGGTCGTATACAAGAATATACTGCCTACAAGAATGAACACTCATTTTTTCATAATCATAACACCTATTTTATGTGTATATTTATTCTTACAAGCAGTATTATCGCATAGTAGAATATATCGGCCCTAAGAATGGATTTTGTGTAGCAAAATATGCCAGATTAGTGCAAAGTGTATCGCCTGTAGTAATAACATCTGTGCTCTGTGCATGCTCAATACAATAATATTCAACACAAAAAGAGAGTTATGTCCAACTGAGCATTGGAGAATCACTTTTTCTGTCCAGTCCGACTCTTTCTTCCGACTTCTCTCATATCTGCTGCTCCGCAGTCGCCTAGCACGATCGCGAGTCTGATCCGTGTGTATCATGATTGTTTAGACCTACATGATTGTACGTGTCCACATGCCAAACATGTATTATGTCACACGTGCATATGATATGTCACACGTGATTTATCGTGTGTAAGAAATATCGGCAATAAGAATCAAATGTCGTTTTTCAAACACCCACGCTATAACCGATACCTACTGTACTAGAGTAGGGCAAATATTTTCAATGCAATTTACTTTTGCCGTTTACGGACTCGTACAGTCAGTAGAAAACAGTTCAGCTTCCCCTCGTTGTCGTTTTGGATCTTTACAGGATCTTGCTGTCACAGCTGCTGGTGTTGCCAACACAGTTCGATAGGACCGCGCACACCACACCTGGTCGTCGCATTGTGGTCGATTGATTTCAAGTTCTTGTGGAGATTAGTGCAGCTCAGGCCGCTGAGCAGGCAGCTACACTGGTACTTTGTAGGGGATAAGCAAGGGTTGTTTCCAAGCTGATCGCATCAGTTTGTACTTTTCTTCACGATTCGACTGATCATGGCAGTGTGGAAAGAGTGGAGAGCCACAGCGCTGGTAAGCCAGTAGCTAAGCCATGGCTCTAATTGCCGAAGTACATGTACTTGTACACAATCATGTACATGACTGTACAAAAGTCATGTTATTATTATTATTATTATTTGAGGGATTCCCCAAAGGCCGAAGCCTAAATCAAGGGGGTCTCCGAGAATAAATATACGTGTACAATGCGTGTACAATAGGGTGCAATTCTTAAAAGGAAGAAAATATTACGATAAAAAAAGATGAATGTGAAGAGGTTAAATAAGAAGTCTGAGTAGAAGCAAGCGAAAAGGGTACTGGTAAAGAAGGGGGGTAATCAGGAAGTGAGAAAACCTCGAGGATGGAATCTATACCTGTGGAAATGGGACTTAACGTGCCGGCTAAATACACCACGGGTTTCAGATATCCTAATCTCGGTAGGCAGGGAGTTCCACGTGGTGATCATGGAATGTAGTAGAGTGGATCGGAAACAGGGACCAGTGTGAGTGGGCAGGAGGTAAAAGTGGGGACGTCGTGCACTCTTGGATAGAACTCTGTTGAGATTATTGAGGGTTTCCGGGTATTGGCGGGTGAAATGGTAAAACAGTTTGAGGCAATGTATATGCCGCCGCCACGCAAGATTTTCCCATTCAGCAGCTTCAAACACGTTCTCCATGCCATGAGGAATGGGCACTTTCCGATGGTGTAAATACTGCCTGGCCACGCGTGCTTGCAATCGTTCCAAAGTGTCAATATTTCCTGCGGTCAGTTTGTTATTCCACAGAGGTGAAGCATACTCAATGAAGGGACGGACGTATCCTTTGTAGAGGCGGGCAATGAGAGCAGGGGTCAGATTGGGTGACATGTAGGATAGCAGAACAACGCGACGACGAAAGGAGGTGACACTATTCATGTGGGTCTGGAAAGACAGGCGGGGATCCAGGGTGATTCCTAGATGGCGGTGGGTAGTCGAGGGACATAGGTGTAATACTAATACTAATACAGTACCGTAAAGTACCGCCAGAGCACCCCACCATCTCATCCTTTCGTGGTCGTATTGTGGAGGTGGTCTGCTGTCTGTAGGTCATACGGCATGAACCTTGTACACATACCGGTATTGCACGTTTTGCAGTCAATCCGTACCTTCAAGAGGACACAAGCTCCACACAAAAACCTGCCAAGTGTGACCTTAGTACACTAAGATTCTCACATCGTACACACTTCGTTGCACTCTGCCATACGATTTTCCTTTCTCTGGCTGTAAAATCAAGGTGGGGCGCTCTCGCGAGACGGGGCGCTCTGGCGGTACTTTACGGTAATAGCAAACCCTACATCATCACGATGATCACCAGTAGATCTACCATCATCTACCATGATCTACGGGTCTCTTTTGCGGCGAATCCGTACGATTTCGATATCAATCAAAATTACTGGGTACATCCTCCGGTCAATCAAAATTACAACCAAGGTCCATCATCCGCACTGCTGCATCGCCATCCCTATTTCGCCATGCATTACTTTCATTCTTGGGGTACCCCGTAAGAAGACCTTGAGTCTGTGGGGACTGCCCTATTAAAATATATGAATAAATAATAATAATAATAATAATAATAATAATAATAATGACGACTACACCATAGCTCAGTGGTTAGAGCATCGCTGGCTACAAGCGAGGGTCCCTGGTTCGAATCCTGGTGGTGACAGTCAATATTTTCTTCAGACTTTTCCCGTTTGTCTCTTTCCCTCTAATCAGTTAATATTTTATGACTTGGGGCTCCCCGCGTGCTAGTTTGTACGTGAAGTGTGTGGGTTACAGTGAGGGCTGCCTCCCACCCGCCTGTGTGGATTCACAGGAAGTGTGAGTTACGAAGTCTGAGGAAAATGTTGAACGGCCTCTGCTGGGATGACGACTACACCATAGCTCAGTGGTTAGAGCATCGCTGGCTACAAGCGAGGGTCCCTGGTTCGAGTCCTGGTGGTGACAGTCAATATTTTCTTCAGACTTTTCCCGTTTGTCTCTTTCCCTCTAATCAGTTAATATTTTATGACTTGGGGCTCCCCGCGTGCTAGTTTGTACGTGAAGTGTGTGGGTTACAGTAAGGGCTGCGTCCCACCCGCCTGTGTGGATTCACAGGAAGTGTGAGTTACGAAGTCTGAGGAAAATGTTGAACGGCCTCTGCTGGGATGACGACTACACCATAGCTCAGTGGTTAGAGCATCGCTGGCTACAAGCGAGGGTCCCTGGTTCGAGTCCTGGTGGTGAGAGTCAATATTTTCTTCAGACTTTTCCCGTTTGTCTCTTTCCCTCTAATCAGTTAAAATAATAATAATAATAATTTTAGAATTGCGATCAACAGAACGAGCTGAACCGACATTTCACAAAGGCTTTTATTGTATTCAAAAAACGAGTGGATACGAAGGCAGTGAAGAACATGGAAGAAAGAAAAATGTGATATGGAGAAAATGATGAACAAAAAATGGTACTTCGAACTAGTTTTCGCACAACACTCCTCAGGAAGCTACGTTGTACTAATGAAAAACAATCCAGAAAGATACTAATAAAGAGAAATGGAGTGAGAAGAAACAACACCTATGAAAATGATAATCCTAGCACTAAGGTAATAACAGGAAAAACTGCAAAAGCACTCAACGAACTTGTAAAGACTACTAGTATACTGTGACACAAGATATGACACCATGGCCAACCAGGGCCAAACAGACAGAACAAGCTGCTACCGTAGAACAATTTCAAACGAATAATGCTGTCCTTCTGGACACACAGATTAGGCTTATGAATACGTTGACAAACAGCTTCTAACACACTCAACTGCAACTTATAACCATGACGAGCACGGCACAAAACAGAAAAAGAAGAATCAGAATACACCTTGCAGCAATCAGGACGAGATACAAGATGCTTATACACTGATGACTTCCTACTAGAAAACACACGCTCGCACCCACTCTTACTCACACAATCATTCTCGCTCTCACACTCACCGGACTCACTGGCCGAATCCTTCTCAACGACGCCCTGCCTTGGAGCAATCAGGTCCCGTCTCCTCCCATCCCTTGTCTCACGCTCCTGTTGTGCATTCCGTTGGCTCTGTACTTCCGTACTGAAATAGGTCATGGTGTAATTCGCAGTTGTTCTTCTGGGTCTCGTTGATATTGAGGTAGGTATTGTTGTCGTCTCTGCCGGTGATGCAGCAAGCGATGATGACGCAAACGTGTCTGCATGCAACACACGTGGCGTCGCCAAAGCCACATCCACCTCCGCTGGTGGAGGGAGTGACTTGGTCATGGCCCCGGGAGCCAATGGTGGACTTGCCGAGTGGGACGCTAGGTCCCGTGTTGGCGAAGGTAGTGGTTGTTTACGGGGTCTTCCCCGCGTGGGACGCTCCAGTTGTGCGCTACGTGGGATAATGTGTAAAGGAGTGTGTTGCTTGTGTGTTGCAGCATTATTCGTTTGAAATTGTTCTAGTAGCAGCTTGTTCTGTCTGTTTGGCCCTGGTTGGCCATGGTGTCATATCTTGTGTCACAGTATACTAGTAGTCTTTACAAGTTCGTTGAGTGCTTTCGCAGTTTTTCCTGTTATTACCTTAGTGCTAGGATTATCATTTTCATAGGTGTTGTTTCTTCTCACTCCATTTCTCTTTATTAGTATCTTTCTGGATTGTTTTTCATTAGTACAACGTAGCTTCCTGAGGAGTGTTGTGCGAAAACTAGTTCGAAGTACCATTTTTTGTTCATCATTTTCTCCATATCACATTTTTCTTTCTTCCATGTTCTTCACTGCCTTCGTATCCACTCGTTTTTTGAATACAATA